GCTTGAAATCCAGTTGGGGGAGTTATAGGAGGGTGCCGATGAGAAAGGGTGTATAAAGATGATTAAGATGTTATGTATGAGATGCACAAACATTCAATAAAAATACACAAACAAAAAAGACTGGAGGGGAAAGTGTCCAACACATGCCAAAGCGCTGTGAATGTTTAACAAGCTTTTGTGCAAAGAAGAGTGTTCTTCTATTGTGACTTATCTAATGAAACAATTATTTTTTTCTTACAAATATTTTGAACAATTAGCCTCCCCTTCTTCATGAACATTTCTATGTAACTCACTGGCAGATCATACCTGAAACCCTTGGTTGGTTCCCTGAACAGCATGCAAATTATATTCTCATTATTTGCATATGACTTTCATAACTAATAAATTAAAACTTTAAATTTTTGACAAATTAAAATCCTGATCAACATTAAGCAAAATACTTCTAAAAAATTAAAAAGCACAAATAACTGAAAAATAAAAATTCTCAATAGAGATATCAAAGATTTATAAAAGGGCTATTTTGTAACCAACCTACTGAAGTTTTTGTTGACTGATCTCTACTGTGTGAGCGCTCCCCCACTCACCCCCAGGGGTTGAGGTATTTGCTCCACAGCAATTCATGGTTTCATCTCTCAGGGAGAGCATTTATGACATGGCACCATACTCTTTTTGATAACATGTCAGTTTCCCTATGAGACTATGAGCTCCTTCAGGAAGGAATTGTTATAATTATTTTCACTGCCAAATTCAGCATCTGGTATAGTACATGTACTCAGAGAAGGTTGATAGAATTTAAGGATAATATGTGTGACAGAGTGTCAAAATGCAGGTTTTGGCTGAGATCTAAGATGCTACCAGGGTAAGCTGGAAATAGACCACCTTGGAAAGTTTGTGTAGAAGGTAGCCGAGGTCCCATGAATCAACTCCTACACTTTTCATCCACATGAAGGTGAAACAGCGATGGGCTTTTTGGAGAAGCTACTTTACTGTGGTCAGGGCTCCTTCCGGGTTGAGTGGTGAGGGAGGCCTCCCTCTCACAGGTCAAGCCACTAAGGCTTCATTCACTGAGGTCAACAGAGAACTAGGTGCCTGCCCCTGAGGTTGGCACATGGTGGACTGGAAATGACTCATGATGGGAAGGGGCAAGTAGGCTGGTGGCAGTTTCTGTGTGAGGAGAGGCCATGCCAGGTCCTCAAAGACATGGGCATTTCTCACAGAACTTAGTTCACCTTGATTTGAGAGACGGCCATGGTTTGGGTTAGAGCCTGTCAAGTATGCCCACCTAACCACTGGAATAAACTGTTAGTATCTAAGGAATTTGAAGAAACAATCTACTAGAACACAGGGGCTACAATACAAAGACTAGCATGTTGCAGATCAGAAGTTTTTGGAGGTGAAGGGTCTCCATAAACTTCCACCATAGAACTTTATGAGACTAAGAGCTAGCTATCCATACCTCTGAGAGCATGGTGCCTACCAATGACAGCTGATCAGATAAGAACTTTGCTACATCTCCAGCCCATCTTCTCTGTGCTCTCCAACTACCTCAAAGGAACAGGAAGAAAAATTAATATGTTGGGAGGAACTGAACGAGGAAGAATAAAGTATCTTGTTATGTGTGGCAGACCCCAGCTGGAGAAACTGGGAAATGTCTCACATTTCCTTTTACATATTCCTTGACTGAGTTTCTAAATTTTGGTTGGGTATCATAACTTAAAGGGATCTTAAAACTTGATTTATATAGGTCATTTTTACTTACTTAAGAAAGCTCACTACCTATCATGATTCTTAAGCAGGGCAGGAAAATGTGCTCTACTCCACAATGGAATGGGGCAGTGAGCATAGAAACCAAAGCTGGTTTTCCATCTGTCTCAGGAATTTTGTGAAGTGAGGTTGGGTGGCATGATGTGCACCTGCAGTCCCACCTACCTGGGAGCTGAGGGAGGGCTCGCTGGAGCCCAGGAGTTGGAAGCTAACCTGGAAACACAGGTAGAACCCGTTTCAAAGGAAAAAAAGAAAAGAAAAAGAAAAGAAAGGAAGGAAGGAAAAGAGGAATTGTGTGAAGTGCTCTATACAATTTTTGTTTCTTTCACACAACTTACTAAACATAAATTACATATTCAAACTAACTTTACTTTTATTTGGGGGGTTGTGTTTTGAGACAGGGTCTTCCTGTAGTCCCAGCTGGCCTGGAACTTGCTATACAGACCATCCCAAGCTGGCTTCCATCTCACAGTGATCTGTCTGCCTCTGCAAATTTTATAAAGATCCAATGAAAATATATTAAAGTGTTAACAAATTCAAGAGAATGGGTGATTTTTGTCTAATCAAATTATTTTGTTTGCTTTTTTTGTTTTGTTTTGTTTAAGAAAGGGTCTCCCTATAGCCCCAGCTGGCCTGGAACTGCTATATAGACCAGGCTGGCCTTGATCTCACAGAGATCTGCCTTCCTTTTCCTCCTGAGTGCTGTGATTAAAGGCATGCACCTGACTTATTCAAATTATCTTGTATGTTTAAAATTTTGTCACAGTGGTATATATTGATTTTATTGTTATTGGGAAATTACAAATATACTGCATTAAATGACTTGGGCACATCTTCTCTTGGAAGGCAGGGCTCCTGATGGGCACCTGACAGTGTACAGAATGCCCAGAGCATCAGTGCTGTTTTCACAAACAGCACTGCTGAGATTCCTAATTTCTCCAAATAATTACCACAGAAATGAACCCACATGAACCCTCTGGCTGTGGTAAATCTGAAAATCATCACAGTACAACAATATGAATTAATTATGGAAATGCTGACACATGCTAAATATAGTTACCCCACAATATATTTCTGTTCAAAGAGGTTTATTTGAAGTTGGAAGCTAAATTCCTACTTTCTGTCAGCATGCAGAGGCCGAACAATCTCAATTTGCAGCACGCTACCCTCTTTGTTTGAGAGTCTAGACAGTACAATGAATAGAGTGACTTTTCTTTTTCCTTTTTGCCCACACAATGAAAGCTTTATAAAAACAAAAATATTTTGTAAAATAGCATTTTAATCACTTCTTTTCTCTCTCTCTCTAAGGCAGAGCTATAAATAAACCATGAAAGTTCACATTTGATTGTCAGTTTTGAACGCAAGTGCAAGGCTACTGTAGGAAAAAATGGGGTCCCTGTAGCCAGTCATGAAAGGCCTCATTCATGACTTGACCCTTCCCTGGTGTGTCAAGGCCACCCTACCAGTCAGCACTCTGCTCACCACTTCTCTGGAGGCAGCACTGGCAGTGGCCAAGCCACTGGGTGGGCAGGGGAAGCACCCAGCTGTTGTGCACTGGGGAAGGGAGGCTACTGGCAGGGGGCTCTTCAGTGCTTGAGTGGCACACATACTCATGTTAGAAACTCAGAGAGCAGGACACTGGGATCTTCCTCCCTACTTTAGAGAACCATGGCCTTAATATTTGGGATAGACCGCCAGGTAGTCTAGATCTAGGTAATGAGATTCTGCTCCACACAAACAGACAAATAAGAAATCATCAAAAAAAAATCTTAAAATCATTAAAAATGCACTAGGCCATAGAGTGAACCTGTAGATATCACACAATGTTACCACGAGGCACCACAAGCAAACATATTTCAAGATATTTTTGTTTCAGGTCTGTTATCTGTTTTACAGAACGACCTACAAGCACAGCATAATGTGCTATGCTTTTAAACAGATTTTTTTCACACACTGAGATGCATGTGCAAAGTGTTCATCACTGATGCGATATATAATCTAAAAAGACTGGCGTGTATAGCCTCAGCAGCCAACTACTATTGAGGAGTTCAATCCACTGGTTCCACTCACTTTACATACATGACCTTTCAATTCCTCGAAATATTCAAACCATACAAATACCATCCGTCTCCACTTTTATGAATGATATGACTGAACACAGAGAGAGAGTATAAGTAATATGCCCCAAGTTATATAGCCAGTTTGAATAAAGCCCAGAATTCAAGCTCACTTCTGACTCTAGGCTGTTGTTTGGCCTCATACTCTACCCCAAATCTACCATTCTTCCTGTAAACAGAAACACCTGCTCTTTGAGTCTCCTAGACTTGAGTTCAGATCCACCTCTGCTTATTAGCTGTGTGATCACTGTGTGTATGTGAGTTGATGTGTGTGTGTGTGTGTGTGTATGTGTGACAAGCATCAATATACTGTACCTTTTCCTAGAGATGCTGACACATACTCCTGAAATATGTGAATCTGCCTTCTTGAGAAACTCTGACTCATTTTACTGGAACAGCAAGTTCATGTGCTAATGTGTGGGCTGAGGCACATGACCCCTCCATAGAAAAACAGAAAATAGGCCACTGTGTTTTTCCTCCATCAAGTATTAAGAGATAGCTCGCTGTTCTTTTATTTATTTTGTTTTCTTCTTTCTAATACAGCCATCTTTTGGCTTGCACCTGGCATTCTGCAACCTCTATGCACTGAAAACAACAGCGACAACTGAGAAGAAGGAAGAGATGAGACAAGAGAGTGGGAGATGTCCTCGTCATTGACCATGATGCGAAGACCGCATCCCATTTGTCACCCTAAACACTTTCTGTCATTAACATTTATACATGTCACTTAGATGGTTGATTACATGAGTGCTCACATCCATAAAAACTCATCAAACTATACAGTTAGCATGTGTATTTCATTTTATATACACTACACCTCAATTTTAAAATGGTAAAAAGGAAATACTCTGTATAGGTAAGTGTGTCATAGATTTACGTTTTAATTTTCAATTATAGAAAGTCTACTAAATGGAAACAAAAAGTTGAGAAGCCTAGTTTTCAAACTGTGACTAAAATATACTTCTATTCCATTATTCCCTTGGTCATAAGAGGGGAAACATGGAGCCTGTGTAATTCTATTAGAAATGGGGCACTTAGTAGAAATACTGTATATTAAAAATGGGCTTAGGTTAAACTGGGTTCTGCTGCTTACCAGATATGCAAGCCAAACTTCCGCATTCCCATGTACAAAATGGGAATAGTAACATCTCAGAATGTTGTTAAATGGTCTTATCCAACTCGGCCCCTCACTCCTCACTGGTCTCTTGACTTCACTTTGGTCTCTGTTCAGTGGTCAGGGTCAGTCAGGATAATTTTTCATAGAGGAGAAAAAAAAAACGCAGCTTGGTAATTAAAACAATAACCCTAATGGCTTACCAGTGTTTGTGATTGAACTTTGCTACTGATAAGCTGTGTGATCACGGTCAGGCAAATTCCTTATTTTCCTTATGGATGGTTCCTCATCTGAAAAGGAGGTTAGTGACAGCATGTGTCTCCCAGGATTTCCAGGGCGATCATGAGTGGTATGAAGGAGGTGCTCAGAATAGCACCAGTACTTGGTAAGCACTCCATAACCCTTACATATTTTTCTTCCCGCTAGTGGGCATGATCCATGTGGCCAGAGCTGTTCTTTGAGTCATTTACTACACTAAAAACTGGTTGACTGGACTATGCAATCAATCATTCGTTGAATGAATCGAATAGGGTAAATTTGTTGCTGTGTTGTTTTTACCATGACACTTCTGACACCAAATGTGTGGGATTTTTTCAACATCCATCATCTCTCTAATTTCCAGACATCAAAATGTGTCACACAAATCAATTCCAGCACTAACCACCCAGAATAAGAGGCATGAGTCCCACAAGACTGCCCCCACTTCATTTGCAAGCCCTAAGCCTCTCCATACTTCTGACTGATAGACTATAAATTGTGGGCTCCCCAATTTGCTAGAATGGACTCACAGAACTCAGGGAAATTTCACTTACTATTAGTAGTTTGTTAGATGGTCACATGCAGAAGGAGCTGCAGAAGGAGAGGATTGTAGTGCTGGTCCATGCTGTTCCCAGGCATGGCACCAGCCATCACCTCCATGTGGTCACTGAACAAGAACCTATCTGAACCCATCATTTAGGGGTTTAATTACACAGGCATGACAGATCAAACCATCAGCCACTCCTTATCTGGGAAAGTCAGGAGCCAGGCTGACAGTTCTAGCTTTCTGATCATGCTGTCACCTTCCTGGCCACCCATTCCCATTCTGTATGATCTCCAGTCTTCCAGTCATTATCTGCTCACTAGCATGCTCTCGAAACATCACTCTGGAAACTACAAACATTCAAGGAGTCTGCTTTTTAGGAATTAAAGTTTTCTTATGTTCCAGGAGCCAGGGGCAATGAGCATACATAATACATCACAACCTCTTTCCCACCTGAAACCTGTTTTGAGCACCCATAGTTTTCTGATGATTAGACTTCATAGGTTACAGAGACCTTTAAGATGGACTTGTGTCTCTGTCTACAGCCTCATAATGTGACCTATTCTCTGAGGCTGCCATTATGAAACACTAGCTTTCTTGCTGATGAATATGCCAAAATTGCTCCTGCCCAGTGTCCTGCCTCTCTTGGGAATGTTGTCTGTCTCTCATTTTCCTATGATTTAGAATGTCTTCAAATAGATTTTCTAAAAGGCTGACCTTGGCTACCCTTAGCTGAAGCAGTGCACTTCTAAACAACAGCTGTCACAGCATCTCATTTTCTTATCTTCATAATACTCCTTGCATATCATGTCATCTGATACTTCATTGTTAATTTATGGGCTTACTGTCTACTTCCTTTCCTGAGGCCCTTACTTCTGCTTTACCCTCCTGAATCTAAGTCTCAGGAAAGCAGAATTCGTGGCATTGTTTTTCATTGATGTACCCCTAACTTTTAGTAGAACATTAAAAGTCAGTTGAAAGAATAAATTTATTGAATGTATATTTTAAACCTTTAAATTATTTTATGTATATGAATGTTTTGTCTGCATATATGTAAGTGCATGATATGTATGCAGAGGCCAGAAGAACTGGCCTCTAGGTGGTTGTGAGTCATCTATGGATGGTTGTGAGTGCTAGGAACTGAACCTGGGTCCTCTGCAAGAGAAGCCAGTGCTCTTAACCATGAACCATCCCTCCAGTCCCTTGAATATATATGCAATGCAATGTACTGTATATCTGTATTTCGCCTCATTCTATCTTCACATTCAGTGGGGAAAGCCTTTTGTAAATTTAAATATGGAAACATAGGCACAGAGAGGTCCAGTGATTTGCCTAAACTACTTACTTCATCACAGCTTATCTTCATGTGGTGGATTTGGGGTCTTATAAAACACTAAAAGTTTGCTTTCTCCACTATCAAAGACAAATTCAATCATGGCCACTATAGTGTGCTTACATGGGAGGGAAGGCTGATTAATTGATGTACAGAAAGACTGTTCATATTATTTTATGAAACAAACAAAATTACTACCAGCTGCATGAACCTGAGCAAGACCTTTACCCTTCCTGGGAACCACCTTATCAGTAGAACAAAGGCACTGAATTAAATTCCTCTGAAGTCTTTGCCAGCTCTGCAATCAGTTTGTTGTGGGAGACAGGCTTGAGCCTAGGGTGAAAGTCTAGGGTGAAAGCCTAGGGTCGGGCCATTGCCTCGGGCCATACAGCAGGCCTGAGGCAACAGCCCAACCCCTGGAGCCACAAGGAAGGCCTTGTGACATTTTGCTCCCATTGGCAGATCATGAGACTGATGCCTAGAGCTCACCACTCCCTAATCACCACCCTTGGAATCCAAAATTGCAACACTTAGATTTTGCAACAGTCAGGGTCATGTGGTTTCCAGGAATCCAGGCCCTGTAATATGAAACCCATTATGTTAATGAGGCATCCTACCTGCTATTCTGTGATAGGATGTTAAGTCTGTTATGCTAATAGGATGCTAAGTCTGTTATGCTAAGAAGGTGTCCTACTTGCTGTACTGTGAAAGGACACTAAACCTGTTATGCTAATGAGGTATCCCTACTTGCTGTGCTGTGATTGGACCACTACCCCTATATAAGCTTGCGCTTTCCTGCAATAAAGCAGACCTGTGTCACTGAACCTAGTCTCCTGTGTCTGAATGCAGGTCTGCTGACACAGTCTCCTCACCAGCCCCAGGGTCTGGGACTGGGCAGAAGTAGCGAGGACAGGAGGCAGCACAAGGTGAGCAGAAGAGCGGCCTCAGCACCAGATGAGCAGAAGAGCGGCCTCAGCCCAGGGCCAGCAGAGGAGCAGCCTCGACACCCGTGAGAACAAAGGAGCGGCACCCATGAGAATGGAGGAGCTGCCGCCACTGGCAGTGACCGCAGTTTGTTCCATGTACAGTTTTTTTTTTTTTTTAATTAACTCTCAGTTGACTAGTTACTCTTGACTCCAGTGACACAAATTGTGAGGTTTTTCTAGAGCCACTCTAACCATACATCTACTGTTTTCTCCAACAATGTAGTTTCATTCTTGTGAAAGTAAGCGTGTGCCAATGTGGTGCAGGGGAGCAGCTCTACCTTTTTCAAGAGATTTTGAGGTAGAGTCCTGATATATTACCAGACTGCTAGGACAGCATCTAAATATGAATACCAACCAAGTGTTCACTATATTTATATGAATTTGACTCATTTCTTATGGAATTTCTGAAGGCTTCTTACCCAAAAAATCAAAAGGGTTACAGACTCCAAAAATGCAAGCAGAAATTTAACAAGTCACCTATTGTTTACTGGAATTGAAAAAGGGCCTCTGAGAAGACATAAAGTGCTGCAGTGAGCTGTAATAAAAATAACAATACCCATGTCAATAATAACAATGGTAATAATGATGGCAGCTAGTATTTCATTAGGTGCTTATTATAGCTAGTACTGTGTTAAATGGTCACTTACTTTATTCCTCCAATTGAAAGATGAAGAAGCATACAGTTCTGAAATCTATTCTCAGCCTCTCATTGTGCAACAAGGACACTGGATAGACCACAGTCTCAAATCGAGGCTCTGCCATTAACAGTCCTAGTCCTATTTAATTTCTTCCTATTAATAATGGAAATTGGAATACCTATTTCATGGGTTGGTGTGGGCCTAACTGCCTTAAAGTATTGCTCACAATCATAACAGCATTTACCCATCAATTGAAATGAACTTTTCGAGAAAGTTTATTAAAAAGGTTAGAGTTGCCAAGTATGAATGTTTCCAGGGTGGTCTAGGGAAAGTGCTGCCTATCAATATTCTTATGGTTCCTCATCATTTGCCAACTAGTGAGAAAGCCTCCTTATCTGAGACTTATTTCACGTTATAGAGACACAATGATACACACCTCCCCTGCATTACCACTGTCACTGCTAGGCTTTTGATTATAGACCTAAGCCAAGTAAAGCTCAGGCTCCTGACACAGCCTTCCATCCATCATTATGAAGAGGTCACAATCTGTTTACAAGACCATATGATGCTATAGGCTTGTGATTTTGAAAGATTTCCAACTCCAACATTTTCACAGCTACACATTGAAAATTAACTACTGGGTTTTTTATACTTACATACATTCCATATGCAAATTGTCACTTGTCTGACCTTAACTGCCCTGCAGTCCAATTCTCTCTGTGCTTTCACTCTACCAAATGCCATTCTCTATGCATGGAAATTTCCAGAATCTTGATCCCTTCCTTTCCTTTTACTTCATAGTCTCCTTTCTTTTGCAGCTACCTTAAGAGTCCATCATATGGTCATTCATAATATACCAGTCCATATTCTGTCAAGTGCATTTGCTAATAAGAATCTCTTAATTATCAAATTCAATGGATTACCACAATCTGTAAAAAGCTATTTTCCCAAGATAGGCTTCATTTATGGCTTTCAGGATGAAATTTTGCCTAGTATAGATCAGACCAATGGGAGATTGAAATATCTTGAAAAGCTCACAGGCAAATTTATACTGTCTGCTTCCAAGTTAATTCCTATTAGAGAAGGCATCCAAGTAGCACATCAGAAACCATGGTTATCAGGAAAAAACAAAATATGTGCTACCACTATCACACAGGTGGGCACATCTTGCTTAGCAGGATTGGTTTTGTAGTTCATAAGGTTCACAGCTGGGTAGGACCATTAATGTCTTTTCTCCCCCAGCTGCCAGCATTCCACCTTTTGGCACCTGGAAAGTTAGCAGGGAGGAAGTTTTCAGATATGTTTCGGTTGCTTTCTCTATATCTTACAACTTAAATATGTGGTATTTTC